TGCTGACCTTAGTTAGCAACCCAATGCACAACTCACTGGCACTCGGGCTGCTAGTCGGTGATGGCAAATATAGTTAGGTTAAAATGTAGTACCCTATATTATTTGATTTCCCTTTTGATTCATTTTAAAGTTGCTTCTATTTTTCATATTTTCTATGTCTGAGGTTTTTCTGTTTTGTCATCATTGTTTGTTAGTTTGCTCCTTATGGTTTTATATGACTGTGTTTTGTTCTTCATGATTATCATAGTGTAGATCAGTGGTTCTCAACCTTCCTAATGCCACAACCATTTAATATAGTTCCTCATGTGTGGTGACCCTCCAACCTAAAATTACTTTTGTTGCTACTTAATAACTGTAATTTTTCTACTGTTATGAATCATCATGTAATATCTGATATGCAGGATGTATTTACATTGTTACAAATTAAACAATTAAAACATAGTGATGAATCACAAAAACAATGTCATTATGTATTGTGAAATATTTATTTCTAATGGCAAATGAATGAAATTTTGCCTTGAAGCATGGTGTAGCATGGGTCAGTCTTCATGCCAGGTAGGCATATCTGCATGTGGGCGTACCTGCCTGGAGATGGATAGAGGAGCACTGTCTTGGTTCCTAAGACAACCAGATCTGTTTTCCGATCATCTTAGGCAATCGCTGTGAAAGGGTCATTCGATCCCCAAATGGATCACGACCCACAGGTTGAAAACCACTGGGGTAGCTCTATAGAAACAGTGACTGGATAGGGGGCATGGCAGGAGAGGGTGGGGGGAAATGGGGTGCTAACAGTGGAGAAGGGAATGTTCTGAAATTGATTGTAGTGATGATTGCACACATCTAATATGATTAACGATTCAATTGTATGATAGGTGATGTACATGCCAAATAAACTATTTTTAAGCAAGGTTTCACTTCAGAAACCCCTCAGTAGTGCTACTATGAGTCAGAATCCTCAAAGGGGTTTGTTTTTTAATTCATCATTTCATTTTTTAACAATGCACAATTTTATTTAGTTACTTTTAAGTTTAAATTCTTGAGGAGTACAGCATCACACGGATTCTGTGTCCAATAGCCTTAGCAGGCAGGTTGCTCCGGAATTTGGCCCGAACCATGCCACTGTTTCCATGGACACGAGTTACCTTTCCCCAGATGACTCTGCTTTTGTTAGGGTTGCCGCCAGGAGCCACTGTGTTGTTCTTTGCTTTGTACACATAAGCCCATCTCTTACCTAAATAAAATTCCGTTTCATCTCGGGTGTAAACACCTTCAATTTTAAGAAGAGCCGAGCGCTCCCTCTGGTTCCGGAGACCCCGTTTAGAGCCAGCAAAGATGGCCTTGGACCACAGCCTGCCAGACATAGTTGCCGGTTAGAAGTCCTGTTCCCAGCAGGCCCCCAAATTCTCAGCAACTGCCATCATTTTATTTTTTTGGGGGGGGGCTCTTACAGATCTTATACCAATCCATACATCAATTGTATCAAGCATACTTGTACATATGTTGCCATCATTTCCAAAACATCTTCTTTCTACTTGAACCCTTGGTATCAGCCCCCCCCCACTGAATCCTTGATCAATTACATATTATTATTTCAAATCTTTCACCTTCCCTTGTCTCCCCTCACCCATGGCTTTGGCTTTTAATCTGAGGTCAAGAGGTCCAGCCGCTTATCCAAGAAGCAGCTGTAATGTGGGGCTTCTGAGTCAGAAAGTCCTTAGAGCCTCCTAGAACCTGAATTCTTACTCTGTACACTGTGTGTGTGTGTGGGGGGGGTTCTTTACAATTGAGTAAACATTTTTAGAGCACCTTAGATTCCCATTCAACAGTTTACACACACGTTCTTTCATATTACGTGCCATCCCCTCAGTGGATCTGTGCTCCCCCCAATAGTGAGTGCCCTGGTCAGTGCACAGCCTGAGAATTTTTAAGTCTTAATGTTGGATTTCCACAGTAGACATTGCAATCTGCTGTGGATCAAAACGAACATATAAGGAAGGGAGCCACAGCCCCAGGAGGCACTTTCGAAAGGTGAAACTAACTGCCCTGGAGTCTCAAGCTCTGGGTGTTGTCAGTTCAAACTGGACTACTAGGTTAATTACCCGAGGCTAACTAGCATGGGTGGGGAAATGAAAAGAATGAATTCTCTACCTTTGCCCAGGGACAGATAAAGTAACTTTAGGAGGAGTAGGGCATGCTTAGAAGTAAAACGGCGCCTGTGGGTTTCCAGACTAATTTTTCAGGATCTCTTTACCAGAGTAAAAAGCCTCCTCTTTTTCTCAAAGAACAGCTGGCGGTTTCAAACTGCTGCCCTTGTGGGTAGCAGCCCAACCCAGCTGCTACCACAAGGGCAGCAGTTTGAAGCCACCAGTCACTCCACAGGGGAACGAATGGTGAGGCTTTCTATTCCCACAGCTACTGTCTCGGAGACCCACAGACACAGTTTCAGCTGTCCTATAGGGTAGCTATCAGTCAGTATTGACTTGATGGCCGTGCGTTGAAGGCATGCTTATGCCCGATGTTGAAGGATTTAAAGGTGGGGGTGGGTGGCCATCCCAAGGTAGTAGTTTAGCTCAGTAGTCCTCAAATGTTAATGTGCATCAGTAGCACGCGGGGAGTTTGTTAAAATGGTTTTCTGGGCCCCATCCAGAGATTCCGATTCAGCACGTAGGGGCGAGGTACATGAAGTAGCATTCCTCATTTATAAGAAACTTGTAGATGGGCTTGAGACGATCTGTAGTGAGACTGCCCAAAGGCATTTTCACCAAAGTCAAGGGCTGGCTTCATGGTAACTACCTTACATTGTATTCAAGATAAATGTTCAGAGCAACTAACTTCTTTGGCCCCATGGGAATTCAACTCAGCTGGTAACCTCCGGGTTGAGTAGTTCAAAACTAGCAGCTCCCCTGGAGAAACATCGGGCTTTCTACTTCAGTAAAGAGATACTCTTGGAAGCTCACAGGGGCAGTTCTACCCTGTCCCAGAGTCCCTGTGAGTCAGAACTGACTCCATAGCAGAGGACATGGCTTGGGACCGTGCAGAGAACACGCGGAGTGGACACCGAAGAACCCAACTCACCATTCTACACCCAGGAGGGAAAAACAAACCCTAACCACCACCCGTACCAGTTTGCTCTCAGCCTCGTGGTTGTTAGCAAACATGGCTAACCTCTGTACGTCAAAGCCAATGAGGTGCCTCTTTCACTTGGGTCAGAGGTGGCATGACCATTAAGGGGCTGGAAACCAGGTGGTGCTCACGAAGCCGTCACGAGCAGAACCTCCTTACCCAGTTCCAGCCCAAGGCAGCCCCCTTTCCTACTTCTCCAATGGGAAAACTCACCCTTCCGACTTCCCACTATTGACAAGGAAGTTCAAACATTCTGATCCCTCAGAATAACCAATGAGCTGTCTGGATGCAGGTTGTTTTCTAAGAATGTGTAGTCATTCTTTTGTTGAGGACGATCCCTTTACGTATATTGATGGTGGCGCTACTCCTGGTTTCTACCTATAGTAGGAGTACATCTACTTCAGTTCTTGGGAGGCATAGGCAATGGTTCAAAACCAAATTAATTACTGTCTAGTCAATACTGACTCACAGGGACCCTGTCAGAGTAGACCTGCCTCTTTGGGTTTCTGAGGCTGGTACTCTGTATGGGAGTCGGAACCTCATCTTTCTCGGGAGGTGCAGCTGGTGGTTTTAAACTGCTAACCTTGCAGTTAGCAACCCAACTTGCAACCACTGCACCACCAAGGGTCCTTGGTCCTGTGTATAATGACATACTTTATATTTATAAATGCAGGGCATAGGCACTGCTCTGTACGCAGTCAGTGCACACAATGCATATAGGGTGGGCAGACGCAGACGATGAGTTACATGGTAAGGGTAGCTAATTCCAAACCAGGATGGGATATTTTATGAATGGCAATAGGGCCTTCTAAAGGGCTTCATTCACCCCACGGTAGGGGCAAGAGCAATACCCCTCCATCCACACCGGAGACTGGCTAGCTCCTGGAACAGTAGTCCTGCAAAGTGTCACAGATGAGTATGCTGGGCCTCTAGGAGTAGGTCCTCCTATCCTGGTGGTAAACCGGGGGTGAAGCATTGGGCTTCTAACCACAAAGATGGCAGTTCGAATCCACCAGCCACTCAAGGGAGAAAGGTGGGGCTGTCTGCCCCTGTAAAGATGTAGAATCTCGGATACCCTCAGGAACCGTTCTCGGAGTCAGAGTCAAGTCCTTAACTGGTCCTTCCATCCTAGTGGTACAGTGTTTCTTCACCCAGGGACCAGGCAAAAGAGAGACCTGCTCCTCTGCTCCTTCCTCCTTAAAGATTACTCTGAAAAGCCCCAGGGGGGGGGCAGGTTACACTGTCCAGTAAGGCTTGCTGAGTAGAAAAATGGACCTGTTGGCTTCAAACAACAAGAGACCTACTATTAACAGCAACCAAAAAAACACTTTAGCATTTGGGGCAGTTGCCTCCACAGACAAGGAAACCAATCAGGCCTGGAGTGGTAAACAAGTTCATTTTCAGCAGAGGCCACTGGAAATCCCATTTAGCATGTGATGAATCATTAAAAGGTAAATTATTAAACGTTGAATCATATACACAATAAAACCTATCCCTGGATTTTGAACTGGTAAAACAGCCAGCTCATTCTGAATGCACACATTTGTTCTCTTGCCAGTTGCTTTCAATTTTCCAGGAAAACTTTTCTTCCTGCTGAGAATGAAAGCCCAAGACTGCCCAACACTACCACCTAGTGGTAAAATGTCTTCATAGCGCTTCTCAGCTCCTTTTCTTTCCAAAGGAGGGGCGGCAACTTTGTAAAAAGATAAAGGAAACAACGGAGAATTCTTGGAAACGGTGGTAGCAATTGTTCAATTCTACTTGACATGATTGAAATATGGAATGATGTGTTATATTTATTAAATCCCAACTAAGAAAAAGGAAAAAGAAAAACAATGGAAGTTCAAACGTAAATTAAAAGCTTTATTGAATAAAAATGTTTCAGACTAAGCAAGACCATAAGAAAGCAGAATAATTTACATCTCTAAAAAATATTAGCGCTAAATCTCTGTAAATGCAGAACAAAGAAAAACCTAGAACTTGAAACACCACCTCTCTCCGCCACACATACGATTTGGAGTATTGATTATGTACAATAAATGTGCTCCTGTTTACAGTGTTTCAAAGTCTAAATACTAGAAAAGCATCCAAGAAAAAGGCCGATAGTTGGTTTGACTGCACCCTGGAAATACTGTCTACCATAAAGTCAATCAATTTCAGATTTGGTAAGTCTTTAAAAAAACAACAACGTGTCTCTAATAGGGACGAGAGAAGTGGAATAAGCGCTTTGGGGTGGGGGTGGGGTCTGAGTCCCGCGGTTGAAGGCAGTTCTTTTTGCAATCCTCTGCTAAACTCCTCACTTGGCTCTAACAAGCAGTGTGGTAAACAGCAATCCAGAGGCTCTGACAAGAATATTGCAGCTTTCAGTAAGCTATGAGGCAGGAGACCACCGGGGAGGACACAATCACTCGGGCTTCGGTCAAGTTGGCAAATACCATGGCTTATTTGGGAGGCAGTGGGTCTTTCCAAGCACCAAAGCATGTGGGATTGGTTCTTCAATGTCTTCAGAAGCAGTTCTGAAGATGGCTGTGTTATGCATACCTTAGTTAACCAGTTCAGGGTGGGGAGCAGAGCACAGGATGCAAAGCAGTAAATTCTCATTTTACTTAGCCGAGTATGAAAAAGTTAATCTAAAAGTTTAAAAGAAGACTAAATATTTGATCTCTTAGGAAACGAATACTAAGCAATTAAATTGGTATTATTAAAAAATTTACAAACTGTGCCCTTTATACTAAAGTGCATTCCGTCATCTTCTTTAGGCCCTGAAATTCTTTCTGCAGGTTCCCTAATTCCACAATCGTATCTGTAGTGTGACAGTGGACTATTACCCATCTCAGATTATTATCTACTCTCAGATGTCTTCTTGGGAGCACAGTGGATTCCAGACTGTACTGCTAGGCACATCCCCTCTCTCTCTCTTGCATGTATAAAACCTTGAAGCCCTGTCTGGATACCATCACTGTGGAAAGAGAGGGGTTAAGCAATATTGTCTTTAAAACTGATTCATTTTAAGCGGTGGCAAGGGATTTTTTGTTGTTTGTTGTTGAAGCGGGACTCCTTTTTCCAAAGTTACTTCCACCTAGATGACAGTTCACACGAAGATCCCGTTTCCGCACGTGCATCACTTTGATAAAGGGCAGAGGCTCACTAACACTAACACCAACTTAAGGCCCAGCACCTTCGTAACCGATCACTCCTCATCCTCTTCCTCATCATAGTACCGGTTTCTTTTTATCTGCTCTTCCACAGACAACTCTTCCACGACCTCCGCCTCCCAGAAGCCCACGTCCTGGGATCTCGGATTCCGGGTGGAGTATTCTTTGGGGGAGGTGTTGTCTACAAAGTTGGACCAATTTGGAGACCTGGGTTCTTCTGGAGACTGCTGTGTGGGGAATCCACCACCATCTTCATCTAAGTTTGAGCCATTTTCTACAGGGTTCTCACTCCCCAGCTCAAAACCGGGGACTTCCTGACCGCTCCCCTCTTCCTCTCTTCTCCCAGTCTCCTTGCTTTGCCAGGTGGCTTTGTCGACAGCCCCGTTCTTCTCCGCGGCCTTGACGTTCTCCATGGGTTTCCGGTCTGCCGCTGTTCCACCTGCAAACTCCTCGCTTTGCTCCCCCATGCTCCAGCCTTTCCTGAGGGGAGGGGACAAGGCTTTGGGGCTCCTGACGGAAGTGGATCGAAAGGAAGCTGCCACGGTGAACGGGCGGCTTCTTTCCTTCAGCGAGGAAGACCGCCGGAGCTTCTTCAGGTCCAGGTCCACATCTTCAAGAGCTTCTGGCTTGCTGTTCTCATCCTCGGGAGGCCATTTGGGCTTGAATACTTTGAGCCCTTCCTCCAAAACACTGCCCGAACTGCCAAGTTCACTTGGGGGTGGCCAGGCAATCCGAAGCTTCTTGGTTTCCGCGGGCTTGTCTTCCTTCTCCGGCTGGGAGGAACCCTGGGCTTCCATGCTCGCAGCCAGCACCCCCACCTTAGCAATGGGGGCGTCTTCCACTCCTGGGCTCGGAGGGGTCTCTCCTGCGTGAGGAAGCGGGGCTGGCCTCTCCAAAGTCTCTTCACCGTCGTTTCTGGTCGCCCACAGATCCTTGTGGGGTCTGTGCCCAAAGCCTTCATCATAGTTGCCTTTAGACTTAAAGAGCTGATTGAAGTGAGGCTTGCAATAGATTCTTCCATGTAAAGATGCGTAAGTCCCTAGACTGTCGTTAAAAGAAAAGGCATAGAGTTAGCCATCTGCCATTTCCACCAGCAGGCTAAAACCTGGCAATTCCAGTACTTTCAGGAGAGTTATCTCCTGAAAGATAACCGGGAAAAGTTATCTTTACAAGTGTATCCATCACGTAGGACTCTCTACTCCCTTGTACGTGCATTTGTGCTTTAAAGGACATTTAAGCACTTGCTCCCTTCTTGTTCTGAACGGCCACGAGTCATTTTCCCACCTGACAGGCATCCCTCCTCCCTTTGAAATGACTTTAATCCTCCTCTGTTAAAACCGTTTTAAAAAATTACTTCTTCCAGGAAGTCTTCCCTAGGTAATCCGACCCAACTTGGATCATTCATATAAATAAATTCCCTTAGTATTTATCACAACACTTACAATAGCATGCCTCCCGTGGTATAATTTAAAAGCATGCCTCAACAGGAGTTGGTATCAAACTCTGTAAACCACCGGCACTCAATAAAAGCTACTAGGTGGAAAAATGTAACTATGGTTAATAGGAAAACGGTGGGCAGTAGCTGGGAGGCAAGGCTCCCCTTGTAGTTAGGGCTGGACGGGACTTCGGTGTCACCTGGAGAGAAACCAACACATGGGACTCAGACATGCTAATGACCATGAGGGTGGTGCAGGACCGGGCAATGTTTTGTTCTGCGATCCAGAAGGGTGCTGGGAGCCAGTGAAACCCATAGCAACGAACAACAAAAGCCCATGGCACCCCCAGAGAAGAGAGGTGCACATTTAACACGTACAAGCACGACTGAGTGGACGTCAGGGCGGCACGGTGGGGTACATGGGATAGCTGGCAAAACCTAGTGCCCGGAAACAATTGTTGTGAGGTGCTGTGCAGACAGGGGCCCGGTCATCTTCCAAGAGTGTCTGAGCAGGGCTGCTTGCTCCAGGTGGAGCGCGGCGGAAAGTGGCATCTCGGCTGCTTCCTTCTCTAACACTTTATGGTTAAAACGAGCGACAATGGAGCATTTCTTTTAATTATATCCTGGTTAGAGTTACAATCCTTCTAGGTTTTCAGGGGGGGGAGTCAACACACGATACTAGTGAATTCCAATACTAGGAATAGAAACGAAACGTTACACAGAAAAAGTACCAATGTTCTTCCGGGGCCATTTCTAACACGGTTTCACACAGTGCTCAGGGCACTGAACGGCTCAGGCAAGGCACCGCTTGGGATTTCTTAACTTTAAGACTTGAGGACACTGAAGGCAAAGAGCCTACTAAATTAGGTCACAGGAGGGCTGTGCTTTGCTTTTCAAATAACAATCTTGTCTAATCATGGTGAAAACACATAACAAGAGGCACAGGAATCCACATTACTTATGCTGTCAGTTCCAACATTCACAGTCACATATCAAGGTACCAAGAAGTTTCAAACATCACTATTACTGGATCTGAGACATTTGTTATTAAATGGCGCTTTTTTTTTTTTTGGAAAGAGCCTTCAACCACATACTATTAGCAGAATGGCTTTCAGGACTGAAGCTCTCAAGGCCAAAGGGTCCCTCCAGAGGCCCAGCTACACAAGAGACGGCTTGTTTGGGGCTGGCTTACCTAAGTTTGCTGTTACAATAGGTGCAGCGGAAGCAGGTGATGTGAAACACCTGCTTGTTGGCCAAGAGACGCTCCATCGGGTACACTGTCTTCTGGCATTCCACACAGGTCTCTCTCACGGGAGCCTGAAACTTCTGGGAGCAGGACAAGACAAGGTTAACTGGCTGAGGCCGCAGTGAGTGCCTGATCTGCCGAGATGGGCCCTACGGTTTACTCTGTGGCCTACGGTTTCCCTTCTCCCTTCGTGGTCAGAGGAGCTCGAAGCCTGCTCAATGCTCTCAGTTGGTTCATTAAAACCAAGAGGCTCCCCTGGATTCCTTTCCCAAACTGTCTGGTTTCCCTGCGTGTATGTCGCTGCCACTAGGGGTGGGCAGAGCTGGGGCTGGATTGCAGAGAAAGGTTTAGACAGGCCACCACAAAACACACACAGACACGCAGCCAATGTTAGGAGGAGGGGAGGAGGAAATTAGAGAGAACTGCATCACACACAATAAAAGAAGTCTGATGCGTATCAAGGAGAAGCAGGGATGACTTCTTACAGCAACAGATTCTGATGGGATACATTTCAAGAAGTGACAACCCATGTGGCTTTTGGGAACGTGCAAAAGACACTTTGCTACAGCACCCCTTATTCTCCTGTGCTTATAGTAGAGTCTTGATTTGCTCGGCCAGTGGGGCATGATTTTTTTTTTTAAACCAAAACTGACACATAAATGAAACCTTTTTTGAGACAGGTTCTTGTACTAGGGCTCAGGAAGGACACCTCTGCCCAACAAAGCAGTAGGTCCTACCCTCCTGTAAAAGCCAGTGGAGACGAGGCACAACGCAATGGGAGGGGAGCGGCTGGGAATGGCTCGTGAAGTGTGAACTCGGCAGTACAGCTGGTGCATGTGCTAAACTCGGCGCTCAGTGGTGCAGTCGGAATTCAAAAAACACGTTCCTCAGTTGTTCATGGGGTGAGAAATGGTCACATGGTTCTGGAGAAGGGGGAGGGAGGTCATCAGTATGTGAAAGGGACCTTTAGCCTGGGCCAGTGTTAACACCCCAACCAGTAGGTGCAGGTGGCAGCTTAGGTTACGATGGTCAGGAAGTGCTGACAGGGACCAAGTTGGCGCCTCTGTTGCCAAAGCCAGAGTGGGCTTTTGTCAAAACAATGTACCGATGTACGGAGGGTGGGAGGTAATGCACATTCGTCCCAATGCTAACTTAGTCCCAGGACCGGAACCATTAGTAATAATTAACCCAATGCTAGCAACAAACCTAAATCAACCAGGTTACGTACAGGCAAGATGGCATTTTGATAGGAAAGCAAACAAGGCAGAAAATAAGGCCATGAAAAAAGACGAAGAAAAACCACACCGCCGGTTCACTTGCCACGTGAATCACTAGGAAGTAGAGCCAAAAAGAGGAACTCCACAGAAAAAATGGTTTTCCAAGCAGAGTTGGACAGGGAATGAGTGCAGGAAATGAGTACAAAATGGAAGCAAAGAAAAAGATCTATAAAAGGGACTTTGCTGAAATTAGTGGTGAACTCCCAAATAGCACCCAAGGGATTTTGGAATGAAGGAGGAGAACGGAGTGAAAATAGCTCCCTCCCAGGCTCTTCCCTCTAGGGGAGGAGTCCTAAAGTGAAATATTCACAGCATCACAGAGCCCAGGTCAAGCATAAGGGAAGCATTTACATGTGACCAAACATAGGGCCTGGAATGTGCTGGAAGTAATTTAGGCATCATTTGGAACTTAAGATTTTTATTTTTCCCTTTCTTTTTATATGGGGTACTTCTGCCAAGATAAGAGCTATACGGAGATTATTTTTGCATAGCTTAAATTAGATATTCTCTAAAAGGATCGGGTCCTGGTCTAGCAAGCAGGAGATAAATTCCCACACGGAATTTTTGAAATAAGGTACGATAAACTCGTTGGTGCCACCGGGGAGAGAGCCACCTTTCATGATGTAAATGCAAATCTTTTTCAGCTGCAGGGCAGATTCCATGGTTTTTAAATTGGATATTGGCCAGTGAGTAAGCTGTCATTGTCGTCAGCGAAGATGACACAGGAGACACGCATTGCACACTTACGAGAGGAAATGGGCCATATTCTGCTCAGGGAGAGTGGGACACCTCTAGCGCCCACGTGTACACACACGCACGCACGCACACGGAGGGCACACTGTAGGAAGAGGGTCCAGCCCAGGGAACAGAAAGGAGAACCTGAGAGAAAGCTGAAAGTTGAGCTCACATTAGGAGGAAAGTGGAAGGCAGGAGCAGAAATTAGGTACCAGGAGCAGGAAGCAGACGCTGGAAGAGACAAACAGGAACCTTCGGTGAGTACACGGCATTTGGGACGCTCCGAGTGCTCCACGGCAGCTGCACTCAGACCCAAGAATACGGCGTTTCTTTCTTTCCACGGCCTTCTGTGCTCATCCTGGCAACACCAGCCCCACTTTAGCGACCTCAGGCTGGAACCTATCCCCACCCAGGAGAGAGGGCTTCCAGGTGTCTGAATCCCACCTCAGGAGCATCTCGTTAGCAATTCGTATCTTCCAGCCTCCCACACCCGACCCCCCACGGCTGACGATGGGCGGCCTTCACCCACGGCACTGAAAAGGCATTGCTCCTCAACAGCCAATTACTAGACTACTGGGTC